ATAGAGGCACACATATAAACATATAAGCACAGACATTTTAAAGAAAAAAATGGGAAATACATAGACAAATAAGCAAAATAAAAAACGGAACGACTTTTCACAAACAGTTGAGAAAGGAATGATACAGGGGAAAGATGAGGATGACAATAATGATGATCATTACAGTAATAAGCAGTAGTAAGTAATAGCAGAAAAACAAGAAAAAAAAGGGGCATGAATAAATGCTAAAAGATACATCCAGAAACTACCATTTAAAAATTATTTGGCGTCATAACAATAAAAAGCAAGAAGAAAAAACTTAGAATTAAAACTATACATAGAAATTTAATTTAAAGCAACTTTCAAGACAGATCATCAGTGATGTACGGAGAGTATACACAAGAAAACAGATCAGCAAAACAAAGACTTCAACAAGTTTTATAAACAGCAAGAAAAGTTCTGTTTTTTTTTTTATCCCGCAACTATTTTCACAATTTTAATTTTGTTTTACAAGTTTTCCTTCTTCAAAATTTTTTTTATTCACCTTATAAAATTATGATAACTGAAAGCATTTTTTTTTTTTGTCAGAAATATGCAAACAGTTTTAAAAAAGTGAAACAATTTAGTTTTTCGTTTATTAGTCATAAAAGAAAGATCTGCTGTTCCAAAAAAAATTGTAGACTGAACGAAAAGACTACTGTAAGCATAAAAAATTTCTGTAAAAAAAGATGTTTTTTCTTAAGTTTGTTTGTCTGTTTAATTTTAGCTATACTACCACTTATTAATATATTAATAAGATGATTATCATTCGTATTTGTATTATCATTATCACTATCAATATTACTAGCATAAGCATTATTATCTTTGAAATTATTAAGCTCTTTGGGTTGTGCAATAACGACAAGTTCAAACAACAAGTGAAATGTAAAATCAGTAAAAATTGGAGATTTTTGGAACAGTAAAAAGAATGCAAAGAAAAACAACAACAAAACGAAGTTTAATAAAAAAAGAATAAGAGGAGAAAAAGAACTGAAAACTCAGTAATATTCAAAAAACAACAAAAAGTTATAATTTAGATAAAATATAAAAAAAAAAAATTTTTTTTTGCTATTTCTTAGCAAATATTAATAAAAATGGAAAAGCTTGAAAAGATTGAATTACTGAAAGTTTTTTACTTCCATTTCTTCTCCTTCTTTTTTTCCAAATTTTTTCCTCTTCTCTTCCTTCTTCTTCTACTTCTTCTTCTTCCACTTCTTGTTTTACGTCGTCTTCACAGAAGATGTTGTATGGCGGCGGCATCCGCCAATGAAAAAGCTCATGAAAAAATGAATGAGA